AAGAAGCAGGCTGGGCCGACACCGATTCGGACGGAATCCTCGATAAGGAAATCGATGGCAAGAAGGTATCCTTCAAGTTCCAAATCATGCATGCCCCGAGCCCTGTCTCGGAACTAATGGCACGTCAGTTCGCTCGTGACTTTGGACAACTTGGAATCAAGTGCGAGCCACGCCAATTTGAATGGACCGTGCTACAGCAAAAAGCACGCGATCACTCGTTCGATGCCATGATGGCTGGCTGGGGTTCCGGCGGCGATCCATTCTCGACAGAGAACATTTACGGAACCGGCAAACCTCGGAACTACGGCGAATACTCGAACGAGCGAGTCGACCAACTGTACGAGCTCGGCCTGCTGGAACTGGATCCTGAAAAGCGTGCCGAACACTACCGCGAGATCGCGAAGATCCTTTACGAAGAACAGCCTTATACCTGGATGTACTACCGAGCCGATCTCTTCGCCTTCAACAAACGCATGCGGGGTTATCAATTCAGCCCCACAGGTCCTTGGTTTTACGAGCCGGGGATGCATTCGGTGTGGAAAGCAAAAGCTGAGTAACGCACCATCATGCTTCACCATCCCTCGCGCCATTCGGAAACACCAGGAGCCCTGGCGTAATGCTGACCTACATTGCCCGACGCGTCATTATCGGGTTCTTTACGATCCTTGCGGTGACCTGCCTGGTTTACGGACTGATCCGAAACATGCCAGGTACGCCGCTGACGCTGATGGATGAAAATCCAGGCGCTCGTCAGCAGTTTGACGAACGGCAACGGGAAGAGCTCGAGAAGCAGTATCATCTCGATAAGCACTGGATCGTTGGCTACGGATACTGGCTGGCCAACGTCGCCCAAGGGGACATGGGTCGCGGCATCAACTACACCGATCGCCGGCGTGTGACGACCATTATTACGACCCGCTTGCCAAATACTTTGATGCTCACGGTCACGTCGCTGATCTTGACCTACCTGATGTGCATACCGATGGGGCTTTTTTCGACCGCGAAAAACGCCACCACCGGAGAACGGGTCATGAGCATCACGCTTTATGTCCTTTACGCGCTTCCGACATTCGTGGCGGCCATTTACCTGAACTTACTGTTTGCCGTGAAACTAGGTTGGCTTCCGCTAAGCGGAATGACGAGCGAATACTACAACGAGCTCGGGGCTTTCGGAAAAGCCTGGGACCTTCTCAAGCATACTTTCCTGCCGATTACCTGTTTGACCTACGGCTCGCTGGCTTACTATACCCGCTTCATCAAAGCCAACATGCTCGAGACGATTCAGCAAGATTACGTCCGCACCGCCAAAGCCAAAGGGGTGGGCCCGATGAAGGTCCTCGTCAAGCATGCGTTTCGCAATTCCTTGATTCCATTGCTGACGCTGATTGGTCTGACGTTGCCGACTTTGCTCGCAGGCTCAGTCATCCTGGAATACATCTATCAGTGGGATGGAATTGGCCAGCTCTTCATCGAGAAGATTGGTCAACGTGATTATCCTGTCATCATGGGACTTGTCCTGATGTTCT